ATTCAGCGCCACAAATCTGACAGCAGCTCAGCAAAATTGTCCTTTTTACCACCATACATCATTGCCTCTACTGCAAGGTTGAGGAAATAGGGAGCGCAGCGAATACGACGTTCGTATTGGTCAAAATCAAACTCATACGCAAGTGCCTCCATAGCCGTATCGTTATTCGTTGCGTTATCAAGCGTAAAGTACCCGATTCTATTCCGAAGGCTAAATGCACAGATCGTGTCAGCAACTTCGTCTGCCAAGGCTGCTCCGGTATGGCGCTTTCGGAGAGCAGGTAATGCCAACAGAATCCTCCATTGTTTCCAATTCCGGTCTATAAAGTGAGCATTAACGCCAAGGAATGATGTGTTCTGTCGGGAAGTCCAGCCGTCAAAAGTAAAGTGAATCATGCTTCTCGCTTTCTGAAGAACTTTTACGGGGTCAAGAGCTCGATTGTACTCCTTTTCAAGGAGATTCACGAGGGTCCTGTCGCTTGGTATCTGCCCTTCCTGAAGACAAGGGTTGTTGTAGAGTAGCAGTCGCTTGAAACGCTCGGAATTAACCAGATTAAAAGGGAGGTTGTGGTAAGTAAGCCAGTCCAGCAGGAGTAGCTGATTCATCGCTGGATCAAACAAAGTGTGCAGATTGCTAAGGAGACTCTGGTCTCGAGGGTTTTTCGGATCAGCGCGCAGCATATCAAGCACGTTTCGTTTTGCAGCTCCAGTCCCAAGAGCTACTTCTTCATGTGAGCCAACAGGTTGGACGACCTTGTGTTCCTTTCTAAGATGGCGAACAATACTCCCAGCGGTTGAGGCGATGAACGTATAACGCGCGGCTTTCGTTTTGTTGCGAAGGAAGCATCTTTCGCAGACCCATACGATCTTATGAGATTCGGACCCGTGGTCTTTCATCCTGAAGCCAAATTGCCACCACCATGTCCGCTCTCGAGAAGGGTCATGGCATGCTGTGAAGTTTGGAAATCGCTTGAATCTTTCGGTGGTCCACGTCTGATAGTCCGGAAACCTGCTGGGCTCATGCACGCTTGAGGTTGAATTGGTCGATGGTTCGGAAGGCGGCGGTGTCGAGGAAACGTTATCCGTCTCGTCGTCAAACGGGTCCATTCTCAGTTTTCGAACAACTCGACAGGGCCACGATGTGCAATATAATGCAGATATTAGCAGTGAGCCCTTTTAGTCCACCCCCTTTCTAATTAAGAGTATTGGCCATGTCTCAAATTCATTTGCTGTTGATGCCAATAGCACGTGATTCAACAGACTGTCCGTTGTCTCACATGGGTTTCTTCTGGTTGGAAATCAGCGCCTTCGCTGCATTGGCCATGGGCCTACCCGGAACCTTTTTCCACATATCCCGATCGACGATCAAATCGATCGACTGAGTGCTGGATCGATATCGATCGATTGAAGATGCTGATCGATATGATCGAAATCGAAATCAATCGATTAATCGATTCGATCATATCGATTGATCGATCGATTTCGAAGCTTGCAGACACTGAAATGATACAGCGTTGACAGCAAATGTAGGACAATATGCAGCGTCCTTGATTCGTAGGATGCCAATTGATCCATCAGGTCTTATGACTGGTAAATGGACTCGCCCATAACCTTCGATTTTAACCTCTGAATCACCAGCAATCAGGTAGTGTTCCTGTCCGGATTCTGGTTTTCTTATCGATTTGAACCTAGCAAGTTCGTTGAATATATCCAACGAAGCTCCAGAATCAAGGATGGTTGACGATCGTAAGGGATACTGGTCAGCTTGCAAGCAGGTTCCTAGACATATTGGAAATGCGGCTCCTTGCTGTAGTGCCTGGCCAACGATTCGTCTATCCAAGCTCGATTTGGCTGGTTGTCAATTAAATGACACTTGCTTTTTCTCTTGATCTAGTTCGACCTGGTCTTTCTGGGCTGCCTTTCGAAGTTCTGCCACCTTGGCTCTTAGTTCCGGGTCAACAGCCAAGGTTTTCTTCAAGAGGTTTTCTCGACGTTTATTTGCCGTTACTCCCTCTGGCCGTAGTTCTGGGATAGCTACCCAGCACGAGCTTAGATCATGCCCCGG